TCGAATTAGAGACTGCGATAACTGCTGCAAGCGATATTATTTTACTTTCAACGGAGCAGAATGCAGTAGCCCACATACCATTGATGCAGTTTTCTATATTTGGAAAGGAAAAGGCACGACAGAAATTCATCGTCATCGCCATATAGAGGGTTATTGCCGTGTCCCTAAAGGTAACATCAACGTTGGCTTCCTGATTGGTAATTGTCCGAATTATGGCGATGCTGATGCTCATAGTGGTTGGCTTTCAGTATCCCGCATTGGAATTGAAGAATTGCCTCCGCCTCAATCTTGACGAACGTTATAACGGTCTTTTGTGCAGTTTCTGTTTCAAACATATGAAAATATATTTGCATGGGTATTTGATTTTGATTCAAACTAGATAAGTTGAATAAGGTCATAGTTTCGACATTTGGGAATGATTTTGATACATATACTCTTTGATATTTCGAAAATCTCTTAAATATATTAAGATTTAAGATTCAATGACAGCAAACTCTTAAATATGATTATAATTTTGAAAGTCTTGAAGCTTATCTGTTTCCGTTTCCGAAAATTTCTTAAATATATTAAATTCAATGATAGTAATTACAATTAAGTAAATATATAATTATAATTTTGAAAGTCTTGAAACTTATTTGTTTCCGTCACTTAATTGGGAGTATAAATGTGCATGCATAACGCGTATAATGAATATATGACCGACTACTACCGGCCGTTTATAATCAATTCATAAAGATTTCACCTACCCATATAGTTATATATTTTAGGTTTACATATATATAAATACTAGAAAATACATGCATGCAGAGACCCTCGCCTTGCTGACAAAACCGTTGTATTTTCCGAACATGAAGTATCTAAAGTAGTTGTCATGGTAACACGATAATTTTTTAAGAATATTCTTACAAATGAAAATCGCCTAAAAATATCACTTTTAATTACAAAATTATCAATTTCCCAACATATATATGTTAGGTATGTAATTATACGTAATAGAAGCTTCAATTTAAGGTAAAATTCAACCACAAACAATTCACAAAACGTTTGAAAGTGTTCTTTATAACTAAACTGCCTTTAACTATTAAATGGCTTTATCGATAAACTTTGAGTTTGCAATAAAATGATTTCAAATTCTCGCTTGCAAATAACTTTGCTTTATTTTTTATTTAAAAAATTCAATATAATAAAAAAGGGAATCAATATTAAAGATACACTGAAATTATATGCTGTCTTGTTTAGTTGTTTCATATACGCAAAGGCCGTCGGGTTTTAAAGCCATTATAAAATCAATATTTAAAACAAACTTACCTTCGTTAACGTCGGCTCCCTTCTTTTAGCTGATTCTTTCGCCCTTTCGTTCTTGAAATTTACAAAATCTTGCAGAAATACGAGCAAAAATGAAGAATATTTGCAAGAAATTTATCAATCATCAACTCATCAAATCAAGAAATGTTTGCTATTTCGCTGTCGTCATGCAGTCGTTATAATGCAAACTTTAAATTGGACCAATCAGTGTCCGTTATTCATGACAGTCCGCCATATTTTTGAGATCAGTGAGGATGACCACCCATCGTTGGTGACCGACGCCCGCGCTCATTAGCGAGGTTTAGCAAAGACGACGCGACGTCAACGAGGACGTGAAAATGGCGTAAAAATGGCGTGATATGCCCATCTATGGATGTGCCCACGCCATTTTTACGCCATTTTCACGTCCTCGTTGACGTCGCGTCGTCTTTGCTAAACCTCGCTATTGATGAACTTTAGACTTCGCTAATGCTTTCGTTTCCCCGGGTGTAAATAGCCGGGGGGAATTAGTACCCTCGCACGGCGCTTCGCGCCGCCGGCTCGGGGACAAACTATTAATATTATAACTTATATATAAGTAACATATATATACTTCAGTTTAGTCAGCCAAAGAATAATTACGGAAAATTAAATTAACTCAGTCATGATCGGAATATATATGTTTGAATTTATAATATACATGACATTCCGCGATGATCGAACTATCAGATCTTAATGATAAGCAACGCATGCAGCAATTCTATTGATTACTGAACAAATATATATCCAAATGCCGGCAAGTGCAGGTTTGTAAAATAGATATTCCCACTTGACCAACTGAGTTGATTTACAGTATTATCAATATGAATGCCAAAACCAATCAACGAATCAGGTGACCGACAGTTTTTCTCGTTGTTGGCGACATAACCGATTCGCACACTCGTACTCATTTTTAACTGCGCGTTAAAGCCTTCCGTGTTACAATTATCTTGTAACCTTGAGTTCACTATAAGTGACATCCACCGGGATCGTCCTAGATTTGTGGGATGGTAAACTTCGTCTGCTATCACACTGTACAGCGAACGTGCAGTGTAGTTCAGCATTATCCAGTTAGTGACGTCATCTACTTTCATTCCCAGGCAGATCTTAGCGAACGGTGTGCTGTTGTACGAACTCAACTTTGTTTCAATTTCTGTCAGACCATCCAGACCTGCTTCAACATTTAATGTTTCGTTGTTTGTCCAAAATTGGGAGTTATATCCAAACGTTGCCTACATATTATCAAACCAAAAATTTATACGATTGCTAGTTTTTGTTTAGTAAAAACGACATGATTCATTCAATCTTTCCCCGCCGACCTAGCTCGTGTATAAATGAATGGTGTTCATTACATGAGTGGTGCGCGTGCCTAGTTTCGCCTCTCGGGGCACAGTGTCATACAGTTGTTTAATTATAATTTCACCGCAGTCATATTTAGTTATTTTATATTATTTATTTATATAACTTCGCCATTTGATAAATTTACACAAAATGACACGACTTACAATACAATATACAATACAATATACAATACAATATACAATGTAATGCAATACAGTATAGTATATAATACAGTACAATACATACAGTACAATGCAATAATATTGTAAACACAAGACAATAAATTATATAGTACAGTACAATATACATGGTGTTCATTACATGAGTGGTGCGCGTGCCTAGTTTCGCCTCTCGGGGCACAGTGTCATACAGTTGTTTAATTATAATTTCACCGCAGTCATATTTAGTTATTTTATATTATTTATTTATATAACTTCGCCATTTGATAAATTTACACAAAATGACACGACTTACAATACAATATACAATACAATATACAATACAATATACAATGTAATGCAATACAGTATAGTATATAATACAGTACAATACATACAGTACAATGCAATAATATTGTAAACACAAAACAATAAATTATATAGTACAGTACAATATACATATAGTACAATGCAATTATAGTGTAAACAACAGATGACTGGGACACCACAACAGTTAAAACCAATTACTGTGGCAACCTCGTACCCAGGGCTAGTCGCGAATTGAAGGCGGCGACATAGCCCTGGTAAACGCTGGTCACGTGTCAGGCAAATACTCCAAGATTCTTGGAGTATTAGCCTGCGAGCGGGCTTTGTGGAAATAAAGACAGGGGGGCGACGAAAAGTTCACGAATGGAACTTGAATTGCCGCGGATTATTTATATTCTTTTATTTTTGTTGTAATCTTTCTTCTTAATATGTTACGTTTATATATTACGTCGAATGTACATCAATCTTCTTTTATATCGCATCATGTAAATCGCCGAGGAGGCGATGTTTCGAATTTCGAAGCAGTGAAAATGGAGCCAATCTCGTACATACTATTTGTGATGATTCCATCAAGTATGAAAAGGTACAGTATATAGGAATTTGAAAATGTTTAGAAGTATTTCATTGTTACAAATTATTTAGCAGATTCCCATTATTTGTTACACTGTCTAGCTCTATGAAATATATATTTCGAAGGCTATTTACTGTAATATATTTTATAATTTTGAGAAACACATGGCCAGACTATGGCCTATATTAATACTATACTCGGACTCTCAGTAAAGTTCTACTCTCACATGATTATTATTTACAATATTGATTTATCGCTGTGAGAAACGTGTTTACACTTTAATACAGTATTATTAAACTACATTTTACAGCAGTATTAACTTCAAATACTTTGTATTTACATTTACAGTAATGACCTGAAATTATTTAAATGAGCCATTTAATACTGTAATGACAGAGTGGCCAGGTTGACAAAGCTAAAATCTGATGAACCTAACCTGCTAGGATATTTCAATAGTCAAACATCAGTTTCAGCACTCTAGCTGGTCAGGGATTATTTAGGGAAAAGTTTTAGCACCCCATTGTAATTAAAACCTGCCCCTGAATCTCAAAATTTCATTATTTTGTTCCCTTGCCCCTACAATCTGTATTTATACCTTTTGTGCCCTTGAGATCTTTAAAAAAATTGCCTAACTCTGTAGTATGGCATGTAACCTTGTTGCCATATTTATTTTCTGACTTCAGGCTTCAATAATTTAAATTTCTACTCTAATACCTGACAGAGATGGGGGCCATATGTATGAACAATAAGAAATGATTTCTTCATCTATTATTGACCCCTTACCTTTCACCCAATTTTAAAATTAAATTTACTGAATGATTTTGAAGTTTTCTAGATTATTGAAAAGAACTTTATGGGTACAAGAAATGGGGCAAAAACAGTTGAATTAAGCAAGATGCAAGTAACAATGAACAAGACCGGGTCACTGGATGGTATTTCAGCACACTGGTGGACATGCAACCTAATACCTGCAACCTGTGTCACATTTATATATATAGTTTTACACTGTATTGGAAAAATAATGTCAAGGAACTTGTAGAGATTCAGAATGCACACTTCATGGTTTATTCAATCACCAGCATGCATGAATCATTTTATGTTATGAATATTTTTTTAAATTATTCTCACTTTATAGATAAAATTATATCAATTTTTAATATCATAAATGAATATATAGTAGCTTTTGATTAAACAAGTTATAATAATATATCAGCAAATAATGACTGGTCTCTCTGAAATCCATATAGAAAGGTTCAAATTTGACTTCCACTACCACTACTTGTTCTGGCAGTTGCATCCGATTGTTTGATTGGATAAATGAAACTTATCTAGTTAATGGTAGCAAAAGCAGCAGTGGAAGTCAAATCTGATCTCTCTATTATTTTTTGAAGATTTGCTCTAGTCATGTCAATTCAGGGTTGCCCATGCAACTTGGTTAGCACAGCTAGCTCTTCAAGTTGGAGGTCCAATTCTTAGGATTCTGCAAATTAATTCTAGAAAACTGGCTTTGGTTTGGGCTAAGCAAAAATCATCACACTGTTTATCATGCTGATTTGGTTGTTTAACAGTTAAAGTCCAGGCTGCATGTTTTTTTGTCCTGCATATGGCAGATGGGACAGTCTGGTTTTCAAGTGTTTATGTGGGGAATTAATATTAATCAGGACTGGCTTCTGAGTGAAGGTCTTGCCTGCTTTATGTGAGAGCAGGCTCTATGCAAGATTCCAATTGCTACACAGCATGATCTCAGTGCTCTTCCTCTGAAACAATGCTTGGTTGCGATATCATCCAGCAAGTACAAAAATGTACTACCACGGTCAAGGATCATTTGGCATGTTCATCGACTATGTTAACCCATTGAGTGGCGCCATGCACTGTCCCCTGACAAGTAAAATTGTCTGGTGTTAGACAGAGTAAACTAACAAAGTAGGGCACATCTGGATGCATTGGGCCATTCCATTTAATGTATACACCCCCCTATGGACGAGTTCAATAAAATTTGAACCCCTAAGAAAAAAAGATCAAAGTGCTGACACCCCCCCCCCCCAGAAATTAAGAAATTTTTGCCTTATCCCTCAGAAAAAGTGCAAAGATCAAAGGATGCCGATGCACACAACCCCTCAGAAACGGCTTTTTCAACCCCCTCAGAAATTCTAGTCCATCGGGGGGGGGGGGAGGGTGTATATTAAATGGATGGCCCATTGCCACTTAAAGGGTTAAAAACGTAAATACCACAGCACAACACTTGTACATATACATATACAAGTAATACAACAGCAATCCTTTTATATATTTAATAGTCATATTTACATATTGGTGAAATATCAATGTCCATATATTAGGGATGTCCATGAACTTGTCCCTAGTTTGAAGCTAATGTATTCATATCTTTTGTATAAGTTGTCCCTCTACAAACCAACTTTTAGTCATTATACAAGAGTTGAATTTGCATTCATTTGCTTCGCAATTCGCAACAAACTGAACAAAGTACTATTCCATAAACCTGTGCAATGATCGAGCGTCTTTGGCGACATATCCGTGTCTTTTAAACGTCTCATACGAACAAATCTCACTGAGTTTTTTCTACAGAAAGTATTGATCCATTTGATCGATCGCCGTACTTTGAGAGAAGCTTCAAGTGCAAAATTCACAAAGAAGATTGAAGAATTTCGGAGATAAAAACTGTTTGTCTTCGAATTTCACCTATTCACCCCCCGGTTGAAAAAAGTAACAATTACGTAATGTTGGAGTCACGTGACCAGCGTTTACCAGGGCTATGTCGCCGCCTTCAATTCGCGACTAGCCCTGGGTACGAGGTTGTTACTGTGGACCCTTTTAACATATAACAAGAAACAACAATTTATAACACTGTTCAAATTACAACAAGAGCAGGGTTGTATACAGCCGGGGGGGGGGGGGCAACTGCCCTAGGGAAAACTATATTTACGATTCTTAGAATGTCATTAGTAATTATTCTTTGGATATGTGGGACTTTTTGGGCATATAGGCCATGCACATTCCCCCCCCCCCCGGTGAAAAAATCCTGGATCCTCTGCAATATGTGAGAAGAGTGCTCCCGATGTGGCTCAGTACGAAACAAGGCAAGGTTTCGTTGGGTTCCGTATTTACTGGAGCTAGAAAACCAGTTTATTATGTGTGGCACAAATTACATTGTTGTTGATATTGAACACATGCAAAATACAAGATTTCGTATATTGTTAATTGTTTACGGTATTTCCTTTCAATATTTACTGTCTTGTTTACCTTGTTTTTATCCAACTTCATGACTAGTGTCCAGCCTCCACGGCCACACTGTGAAGACAAATGCGACATGTGACAGTAAGCTTGATATACTTCTGAAGTCTCACTCAGCGTTAGGTTATAAACCCCATCAGTTGCTAAACTAAAAAATGAAACAGTCATAACTAATACGCGCCCAGGTTATGTTTTCATCCGCGGAAGTAAAGTTAAGAGTAAAATTAAAGAATAATTCAATTTCAGGGTAAAATGAATGCGTATAATGAGCTCATTGTATACTAAAATTATGGATCCGTGATCCCACATGAATATTCCTTTAACTTTTTTAACTAAGCTTGCATTCCTCTGCAGACTTTGTGCATTTACTTCTGTTTAATTTTGTATACAAGTTTAATGCGGTACAGCCTGTTCTGCGCATGCGTACATTGGAGCGTCTTGATTGTGATACAAACAGATTTTTAGTTCTACGTTCTTGCAAAGCTTGATTTGCTATCCAGTAGTTGATAATTTATTTTACTGTGGCAGCAGGAATACATTTATAGTTGTTAGCACTTCGATTATAAAGTTCATTATTTTGGACACAAAATTTAAACAAAGCTGAAACCATGCAAGCGATTAACTGTCATCTCTCTTCCACATCGATTCTTGTTCCCACTCTAGGTTTCCGTTTTCATATTTTAATTTTACAAGCTTTGTCACAACATTAAGATTGCATAACAAATAACAATAATCAAATATACTGTATAACATCACAAATTGTGACAAGGAATCACAACAGCTTTTGGCCAATTACTGTGATCCCAAAATGACAAATTAAACGTACGATTTACAAATCTACAAGAGGGCCCTGAAGGGGTAAAATGGGAACTGGGATTGATCTATTTTTAGACTGGGAAAATGGGATTTGGGTTGCTGGGACTGGGATTTGGCCACTGGGAATGGGAAATGAAGTCCTCAAAAATGGGAGTGGGATTGAGGTAATGTGAGTCAATTCCCAATTTTTCTGCGTTTTGAATATTTTAAAATACAATTTTTATCCGTTTTTGGTGTCTTTGGTCATGATTTTTGTTGTTAACTATATTATTTACAACACTACGTGCGAAGAGGCATACTCTGGCGCCCGGAATTCAGGGTTTTCTGATTATGCGTGTCTCAGAATGCTGCAAATGCCATTTCCGGGATTCAAATTTAAAAAATTTCCGTGCCTTCGGCACGAACACCCCCCTATTATTTCATAAGGTGTCCGCTACTTGCTTAAAAGGTCTTAAAACTGTTTATTCTACCGATAAATAAAGAGTTTTTTATTGACTGGGATTTCAATAACTGGGACTGGGATTTCTAATAAAAATCCAACTGGGACTGGGATTTTGCCAAAATTTCAGGTGGGAAATGGGATTGGGACCCCCCCTTCAGGACCCTCCTACAAGTACTGTTGTACAAACACACATACATTACATACATATATATACAACATGCAATAGGTTTGCATGTTGTATATGTGTGTATGAATGTATGCATTCATTGCAAATGCATGAATGTATGCATGCATTTAAAAACAACATGCAATAGGTTTGCCGGTTTGGTTAGGTCTCGGGCGTGGTTACATTTTAGGCAAAATTACGTTTTCCATGATCGAGGTCGAGGATCATCCATGTTATAATTTCTTTCTAATGTGGTACTGTTAAAGAGTTAAATTTATTGGTATAATACGTTTCAGATTCATCTTGTTCATACGTTTCAGATTTATCTTGTTCTTGCAGGTATTGGTCGAAGTCTTGTATTTCTTAACTTTGAAGTTTAGGAAATTAGCCTTTCTCAGGCCGCCATTTTTGGGTGGCTTTTCAGCCGACGTCTGCGAGATAAATCCACATAACAGCGACTTTTTTTATTTTTTTTGGACGAATGATGGTAAATTTGCTTTGTAAATGGTTAGTTTATTTTGAAAAATTGCTTACAACATTGTTTTAATTGTATGCATTGGTTAATGAGAATTAGATGCCACCCAACAATGACGGATATTCGTCATCGTGAGAAAGGCTAATTCGGATCCACTGACTTGCAATTCGAGAGGTTTTATGTTTCTGTTTTCTGAATAATTTTCTAAGGCACTGGCCATAACACTAGCTGATGGGAAATGAAGGACGAGTGAAATTAGAAAAATATGCGAAACGGGAAAATACTAACTTTTTATAGGTGGTATATATGCCCTACTATCAGAAGTCATGTAGGGCAAAGGAAGTACTTCCTTGGGGAGTCTGGGACTGCACGCAGGCTAGAGATCAGGCGGATTCAACGATAAACTATTTTCAGTAATTTAAGGAATTAAAGCGTGATAAATATTTGATGGGTATTGTAGATGGAAATGCAGTGTTGAGTGGAAATTTATATACATTTATTAGACCTAACCAGGAACAGCTGCGAAAAATGCAACTTTAAGTCCTCGTATGTATAAATGAACCAGCTGTGGTTAGAGCTCGACAACTCGCTTCTGTAGCTCAGTTGGTTAGAGCGCTACACCGGAATCGCAGGGCCGCAGGTTTGATTCCTGTCAAGGACCTAAAGTTGCATTTTTCGCAGCTGTTCCTGGACCCTGGTTATAGGTCTAATAAATGTATATAAATTTTCACTCGACAATTTCCATTTACAATACCCATCCAATATTATTCATTCGAATGAGATGCCAATAAAATAATGATAAACAAATACCTGTTTTTCTCGAGAACGTCTTTGCATGAAACGTAAGTCACTATAATTGAATGTAATTGAAAAGGTGAATATCACTGTGTTTATTTTTGGAAACTTTCGGTTCTCAATCGTTGTTATATATAATCACAAGGCCGTTCAAGGTTATATAGGGATAGGATAACATAACGATATTATAGACAACTTTATACACAAATAGATTTTTCTTTGTTCCGTTTCCCCGATCACAACCCTATCCCTAACCCTGACAGCCTAATAGAGCGTTTGCACATGACGTCACAGTCGCCATGTTGGTGTTCCAATTAATTCAAAAGAATTTTAATTAGACTCTTTTGTCTGGAACACCAACATGGCTGCCATGGCTTCGGTTGATTTGGTCCCTGGGGAATGAGTGCAAGCGCTCTATTGTGACCGTACTACAGGGTGTCCCAAAAAAAAGTGACACTATAGAAATTATTCTTTTGTTATAATTTGAATGCCCTAGCACTAAGTTGATCCCACAGGTGCATAAACTTCTGCTTCTGGAATTTAAAATAAAAAAGTAAACCGTTTATTAGTGTAATCATTTTGCTTGACTCGGGCGTTAAAATATTTGGACAAAGCGAAAACGTTTTAAAATGCTTAAATGTAAATACAAGTTCATTAAATTCCCAGGCGTGTAATCACGCGCATTTAAGAGCGGCTTAAGAACAATGAGATAATTTCTATAGTGTCACTTTTTTGGGGGACACCCTGTATAACGATATACTGACTGACCAACCCGGCTTTCAAACCCCAAGTCCATATTTCTGCACCGCTATGTCATCAAACCATATGTTATCAAAGACACTCCAATGCAAATTAGTACTTCATGTGTGCTGAAGCCTGGCCACTCCAATAGGTTTATAGTTTTCCGTCCACCGCCTGTGTCTCAAAGAAGGGGTTTCGTAAATTCCCCATTACCGATATCTTAATTTTTTGTGTGTGTGTTTTGATGTTATGTACTCAGGTGAACATAATGTTTTTTGATGTTACTCTGATTGTATATACACTTAGAGTAACATAAAAAAATGTGGATATACACTCAGAGTAACATAAAAAAAACATTGAATGATATCTTGTTTACATTATTTGACATTTTGGCAAAATATGCAAATTTTATCTGTTTTTATTTGTGATCATTTTTGGGATTATACAGGAAAAGAATTAAATTACAACTTACAACCATTATTAACATTAAATCCTGGAATATAGAAATATGGGGTGAATTGTTCACATAATTTTGTCGCAATGTTTTTAAACGCAGCTGCGTGATGACTGTTTGTTTACTGTATATAGTGAATATTGTAAGAATTTTTCAATTTCAGCCTATCCTGATTTCTGATAATGACAAAAATCTGAAAAGTATAGCATTGTTCTTTTTGCCTCTCGATTCAATGAATATATTTAATGGACCGCCTGCCCGTATGCATCTATGAATATAGCCCGGATGGAAAACCAAAATCACATTTGGAGTGGCCCTATATACCTCAAGTACACGTCCCTAATGCAACCGAAAACTAAACCTAAAAGTCGTGCCTGCACCCTCGACCCGTTTCATTCGGTCTCGTGTGCATTCAATCATGCATATTCTTGAACGGTCTAATAAGCACCATGCATATGTCTGGCTAGAAAGAGGG